GGAGGAAGAACCAGCAGCATACCTACAGGCTGGGCAACTCCCTTCTCATCGGTGCAGAGGCAGAAAAGGATCTTGGAGTCGTCATTGATGCCAAGATGAACATGGGCCGGCAGTGTGGGGATGCAGTCAGGAAGGTCAACTGCACCTTGTCATGCATCCACAGATGCATCTCAAGCAGGTCCAAGGAGGTGATCCTCCCCCTCTATGTGGCACTGGTCAGGCCGCAGCTGGAGTACTGCATCCAATTCTGGGCGCCTTACTTCAAGAGGGATGTGGACAACATGGAGAAGGTCCAGAGGAGGGCCACTCGCATGATTGGGGGCAGCAGGGCAGGTCCTACGGGGAGAGGCTGAGGGACCTGGACCTGTTCAGGCTCCACAAGAGAAGGCTCTAGTGGCCTGTTACAAACTAGTCAGAGGGGACCAGCAGACATTGGGGGAGTCCCTGTTCCCCCAAGCACTACCAGGAGTGACTAGAAATAACCGTCGCAAGCTAGCAGAGGGTAAATTCAGATTAGACATCAGGAGATGCTACTTCACTGTCAGGGCAGCTAGGATCTGGAACCAGCTTCTAAGAGAAGTGGCGCTGGCTCCTATCCTGGGGGTCTTTAAGACAAGGCTAGACAGTCACCTTGCAGGGGTCGTTTGACCCCAGTACTCTTTCCTGCCATGGCAGAGGGTCGGACTTGACGATCTGCTCAGGTCCCTTCCAACCCTACCAACTATGAAACTATGAAACCAGCAACTCCCAGCTGAGCAGCACGCAGCATTGGGAGCAGCCCCCTCCTCCTCACACCCCCCAGACAAGCTGCTGCCCCAGCCCCATGCCTCCCTCCCTGTGGGGGCCTTGATCTGCACCCCCCCAGGTCCCTTCCCTCCATTCCACCACACCAGACTTACAAGCTGGAGGCAGCTCTCCATGCTGCCAGGCTGTGCAGAGCAAAGGAATTTTCCTGCACGCATACACGGGCCATTTATCAGCCAAATTATCAGCCTGATTTGGCCAGTTTCTGATACGTTAAATTTTCTTTATATTGTAACCAATCCAATATCAGACCCATGTATCGGTGCACCTCTATTCAAAATGTATTTTTCTTAATTCTAGGATAGCTCTTCGTATTTTGCTCTTCACCCCATTGAAAAGGTGAAGCTGCAGTAGTCAGTTTCTTATATTTCATTCTCTGCTCTCTGTGCATCAATAGATAAATATACTATTTATAATTCAAATATGAATACATTGTTTTCAGTTCGCTTTATAAAATAGTCAAATATTTGTCTATAAAAAAGATTGTACAAAATCTGTTGGCACAACCTAAACTGTATGTCTAATGTAAATAATTTTTATAAAGTGATGCTGTTACGCAGTTCCAGCACATTAAGATTGTTTTTGAGATCTTGTAAGGTGTTTTATCAAATCCTTGATGTTAAGTGAAAAATCTTAACAAATGTTTAAAAGTGTTTTTAAATCAATTTAGACATTTTAAAGATTTTTTTTTTCACCCCCATCAACAAAATGCCATGGAGTCAGCACAGGGGTTGCATCCACACAAGAGGGATGTGCATTTGCAGCAACACAAATAGTAGCAGCACGAACTTGTCCTGCTACTTTGTGCCACAGTGCACCCCCCTGCCCCTGAGCTTTGGAGTGAGGCATTGTCTCACTGTTCCACATTGCAGGGTGGACTGGCTGGGGCACAGTGTGCCTCAACATAGGGCTAGCCAGCAGGCGGCACCTTGCCCCAACCAGGCAGGGATCAGCATGTGGAGACAGAAGAAGACAGCCCAAGGCTGCCTGCTCCCCTGTCTCAAGGCACACTGCATACCAGCCAGCTGGGGAGCAGCTGGCTGGGGCACAGGGTGCCTCAGTGTGAGGGCTCCATGGTGCGTAGAGACAAAGGAGCTGGCAGCCCTGGATTGCCTGCTCCCCTGTGTCCGTGTTTGTCCCAGCACACGCCACTTTGCCATTCCTTGGACCACTTTTTTCTTTTGGGATTTCTTTGCTACTGAGAAATCCCAGTAGCAAATTTTGCCCCAGTGCTGCAAATTAGAAGTGCTGTGTGTGGTTTAACGTGCAATGCATATGGTTTGTGATTAGCACTGGGCATTTTGTCTGTACATGCAGACAGATTTTGTATCAGGTTGATATTAACTGGTTTGAAATACCAGTCTTTTAAACCATGAAACATTTTAGAAGCGCCAGAAAGCTCTCCTTCCCTAGCACTGTGGGGCAGTTAGTTTATTTCACTTAAGCTTTTGTAATTATTTGTATTCTTTCTTCCTCCTTTGTTTGCTGACTGTATTTCTTGCTATTAAACATTTGCTAGATTTTGACCGGCCCAGTGATCATGAAGAAGCTTTTGCCAGAGATCTTACAGAATTTCCCTCCCTAGAAAATGGTGCAGGAACGAATGATGACGACGACTCAAGCATTGGCCTGCCTACTCAGCAAAGGAAAAAAAAGGAACAAATGCCTTTCAAGGCAGATCACTCTCCCAAACAGAGTAAAGAGAGACCATCTGCTGCAGGCTTCTCCTTGCCTTTGACCAGTGACCAAACCCTTAACTTAGTGAGTGGTATTGCCGGCGATGTCATTGCAGCTGCAGTATCTGCTGCCATCAAAGACCAGTTGCAATCTGCACAGCAAGCCCCTTTACAGGCATTCCCCAGTCTGAGCGAGGAGACAGATACAGAAGAAGCTGATGATTTTGAACTGCTTGACCAGTCAGAGCTTGAGCAAATTGAGAGTGAACTGGGTCTTACACAAGGCCAGGAAGGGCAACCACAGGGAAAAAAGAAATCTAAAGGCTTCCTTTCAAATCTACTTGGAGGTCATTAAACTGGAAATTGGAGTTAGTAACATAGCAGGAATGAAACAAAAAACAAACAATAAAATGCAAAAAAGGAAAAATCTGAGCTGTAAGCTTTAACTATTACTTTATATGTGTTGTAATAATTCCCTTTATGCAGAGTGAATTAACTGGATACATAACAGCTGACACTGATAGTTTAATGTTCCTGATAGTTATGCCTCAATGTAGTAGCATGGAAATGAACTATCTATCCACTGTTTGGTCACAGATGAATGTTGGAGGTCAGTTGTTCTTCAAAAACAAACTTTGCCAAATTTATATTTGGGGTCATCAGACAAATGCCCTCCATCTTTGGTTTGTTTACACATAGTTTTCAAAAATGCAAAGCATTTAATGATAAATAGAATTATCAGTGGGATGCAACAAGATGAGCAAAATCTTTTAACTGTCTCTCTAATCCATATAGTCATCAATGTATGCAGTGCATTTGATGTTCACAAACATTTTAACCAGCATAACTGTAGTTTAAGGATGTGTGCAACACCATCAAAATTAACTAAAGTCGTGTTGCTTATATAAAACTTGAAAATTATTTTTTGGGGTAGGCTGATACATTTCCAAGTTCTCTGCTGTTTAGTCTTGTAGTTATGAAATGGCATGCTACTAGATTGACCATGTGCTGTGTTCTCTGCTACAGTTTGTACTGGGCAGCATTGCCCATAGAAAACAAAGTTATATTTGAGATTATGACTATCATGTAAACTGAACAAGGAGCGAACAAGGTGAGTTTTTTATTCTTGTTGTTATTATTATTATTATTATTATTATTATTATTATTATTATTATTATTATTACAATTATAGTTTGGAATAGGGAAGCAATGAAAAGATGAACTGCAAGGCTTTATCCTTGTTACTTCGTGCATTCAAGGTTCTGTTATTTTCTTGAGATAACTTTTTTCATGAGTTGACATCACTTGCAAAAAGTTCTGTAGAGAGCTCTATTCCTAAAGTTGTTTCAAGTATTGAGTGATTTAGGTCAGCTCTTACAGAAGAAATGCAGAATCATCTTGGCATGTACATGAAGGAGGAACTTGTGTTAAAATATTTATTTGTAATGTTTAACTCCACATAGACATGATTACTGGCTTGGGAAGTTAAATGTATAACTTACTGACATTTTAAACATTTTGGATTATTTACAAACACATATAAAAGGTAATGCCAGTTTAAACAAAGATTGATAGGAAGTAAAGCTAGTTTTATTAATGTGATGTAAACTATTAGCAGGGTTGAGGGACCATGTCAGCTGTTGCCACTAATCTTAACTGATATCACATTTGCTGGCATTTTACAGATAGATGTTGTCATCTAGGACCCTCAGAAAGTACATCCCCAGCTTTTAGAAAGGTTTGCTTTTCTTCCACAATAGACTACACTTAGATTAAGCCCCATGTTTTACAGTAAAACAGTTTTAAATTTGCTTTTCTTTCTGAGGTGTTAAAGAACTAGACAGATTGCCAAAAAATGTAGGTAAAGGAAAACTACTGAAGCCTTTTGACACTAACTGTATTGTTATTTGTGCTTATGTGTCAGTAATGCCTATTGACTGTGTTTGCTGTCCTTTATCAGTACAAAAGTGAGCCTGTGCCTTCATTGTCAAACCCATTATAAAACAAGTGAAAGCTGGATGTAGAGCCCACAAAATGTAGCTTCTTAAATGATAACTTCACATTTAATGCAGATTTCTGGAAATCATTAAGAAAATTAAGTATGGCACACATCTTTCACAATGTATTAAGTATTAGGTTTCTTTTATAAATTTTCCCAGTCTGTGCTTCCCCCTTTAAAAAAAAAAAAAAAAAAAAAAAAAAAAAAAGCTTTGGCCAGGAAATCAGCATAAAAGCCATTTCAGTTTTTGAGAGAAATGAAAAACTTTGTTTCCTTAATACATGTTTGAGACAATCTATATAGTAAGAAGTGCACAAGTTATAAGTCAGTGATGAAGCTTTACAGAATATGTAGACAGTGTGTTTCCCTTATGGGATGTTATAAGTGCTAAGTTACAAGACCTGAAAAAAATAGGATCGGGAGGACTGGAGGAAAGCAGTTGTTAACAAGACTTTAACAAGTGGACGATGAAGCATACCAGCTTGCTGTCAATGGTGGCATTGTAACAGTGTGCACTTTATTGTTGTTTTATGAAGAATACTTGTGGTTACAAAAGTATCTAGCACAGGGCACTCTTCTAAGAATTGCTAATTACATTGAGGGTAAAAAAAGGTGCAGGAGGAGTTGCTCAGACTTTTTGTAAATGATCCATTTTCTGGTTTCGAGATAGAAAAGTAAATTGATTGACTACCTGTTCTGGTGTAGAATGAATTTCTGTTACCCACAGAAAGCAAGGCAAAGCAAAACGTGGATTTATCACCTTTAACTGTTTGTTCAAGACGTATTCATTATTCTTCTTAAATCCTGGTAGATGCTTTATAAAAGTATATGAGTCTATATTTTGTTCATTTCTAATTAACCTGTGAGCATCTGTTAGAGCACAGCCAGAATCGAGGCTTTTGAGCATGGCCTGATTTTCCACAAAATGTTCACAAACAAGAAGCACTTGCTTGAGGGGAAAAAAAAACATTTGCTAAGCAGTCCAGTACCACTAAGTGAATTGTTGTGCAAGAAGGAACAGCTTCTCTCCTCTTAAAAGATTCTGTTCTCAGTATGTTTATTTGCAATGCATGTTAGGAACGCTAATGTTACTATATTCCAGTGTCAGCAACAAAATAGCCTTCATTTAAGAATTCCTGCATTCTAGTCTCCCAGTGATCCCACAACTGCTTTCATAACAAGTTTACTCCCAAATTTTTGGGTTCCCAAATTAAATAAAATACCAACCTCCCCACCCCTCCCTCCAAAATTAAAAAAAAAACATGGGAGCACAAGAAAATGAATCAAAAGCTTTAAAACAAATATTTGCGTCTTTATAAATCTGCTTTGATAAATATATCATAAAACAAAACAGTCACAATCTAGATGGATCTGTATGTATCTAAAGACATTTTCCATTGGTTAGAAGTGTAGATGGACTGTAGTTCAGCACTGCATGCTCATTAAAATTCCTGGACTTTTCTGAGCCTAAGAAAGGAGTGCTGAATTGGAGGCCTTAATTATGCAAATCATGCTTCTTGAACAACATGTTAAAGTCCTGAACAAAAGAGCCTGCTTTCAAATAATTTCTATTTTGATATAGAAGCCTTCGGGCTTTTATATGTGTAATCATGTATATATACAATATAGAAAATCTGCGAGGAGGAGGGGTAGATAATAATATTTGAACACAAAAGACCAGGACATAACAACATATGAAAAATACAGATTTTACTTGCTTTTGGTTCATTTTGCACTTTTTCTAGACAAATATGTCTATTTATCTAAGCACTCTGAACAGATGCACCTTGCTCTAAATTTGTTTTACTATTAAAAAAAAAAAAAAAAAAGCAATGTAACCATCTGTAAATACAGCCTATCCAGGTACCAGAAACTGGAAAATTACAAAATGTCATTAAAC